CGCCGCCGCCGCCTGGCTAGCGTCCTCTTTCTTAGCACGCCCAGCAGGACTCTCTTTTCTTCCCTTCTCCCCGTGCTCTGGGGAGCAGCTCTTAACCACTCTCCCCTACTTGCCTGTCCTTCTCCACCCCAGGGCCTTTGGGGATGTAACTAACTGGCCACCCTAAGCGGCTCTCGTAAGGATCGGCTCCTTCTGTTACCTACTGAGTAAACATCCGCTTGCTGCTTACCGCTAGATTTCCATGTCGCAGCCTACTTGAAGGACAAGGATGTGATGTCCCCAAGGCCACGGTCTTCTGCCTGCTCCCTGTAATCTTTCACTTCTGTCACGTGTCTGGGAAATGGCAAGCTTGTCATTCTCCACTACAGTGCTCAGATATCTGCTGTGGTTATGGGGACAGGCTTCAGTCTAGGTAGGAATTGTCCGCTGGTACTGACTCAGATCGTGGATACATTCCATGTCTTTCGTATTTGGCTTTGGTTGTTGGCGTTTGTAAAATCTGCTCTGAGTTGATCCCTGACCATGGGAATGTTGACAAGACAGAAATGTCGCCCATGTCCTCCAGGCTCCCCTCAATGCAGATACTCTGTATATTAGAGAAAGGCCATGGAGAAAAATGGGAATAATCATTTAAAATCCCCAAATTGACTTTATTAAGAACAAGGCAAGGCACATATAGCAGCACATTTGAGGTAAAAATAGATAGTGCGTTATTTATGAAGACTTTCTAGCAAACATAAAGATGGATGCCGCCCCTTCTGTAGAGCTAGGCCCCAGGCCCGATGACGGTATATCTCACATGCTGACTACAGGTAAGCCTGAGATTGACCTTTGCTTTCCAAACCATGAGCAGATTTATCTGAAGCATCACAGCACTGGCTGAGGAAAGATGAACAGCAGGTCTGTAGCTGTTACACATGTCCTGCTTTTGTTGTTCTTGTTGTTTGTTTGTGTCTGGAAAGCTGGAGAATGAGAGATCAGTCGGAGGAAGAGAATAACAGGGAAAGAGAAAGGAAACACAGTTACTTGAACTTTGAGGCTACGTTAATCATGTAACCGAACGTGCTGTTCCTGTGGCCTTTCCATGTGGGCTTCTCTAATTCCCTGTTTGTGCTATTCTTACATGTATCAAATAAAAGGCATTTTTTTGGGGGAAAAAAATATATACTAAGAAGGTCACAGATCTCCAGCAGTTTGTTGGCTTATCTCTAGAGCCTGGGACAGTACTTGGCAGTGGTTTCTTCTATAAAACAGGTAAGGACTGGCCAGCCACAGCCCCGTCCCAGCTTCATCTTATCCAGTTAGTTATATGTGCCCTTCAGTGAGTCCTAAATGGCTGGGCACGGCGTTAAAGGCAGGCATTGCAAGGAATACACAGAAATGTTTTGACCTTGCGTCTCAGGGAGCTCATGGTCATAGTCAGACCCTCTGTATGTGGTCAGGAAGATACATGTCCCAGGTGTGAGCTGTGGGCTGAACCATGAAGGTGTCGTGCAGCCGGAGTAAGCGGAAACTCAGGGACTATAGTGTTCTTTAACGAATTTATAAAATTACAGTGTTTTATAAAATAAGATTAATCCCACAAAAAGAGGGGGTCAAAAAAGATGCCGAAGAAAGCTGTGGAGTCAAAGGAATTACTGATAGTTCAGATTTGAGGGCAGGGAGGGGCCAGCCCAACTCTGGGATCTGTGTAGTCCTTCTCTCTGGCTGCTGCCACCAGTGGACTCCCCCTCGGTGAAGACCACCCTGTATGTCTTTGTGCTTCTCAGGCTCTGTCTGCCTTACGCATCTGGGCTCTCCCGGTGCATGCCCTCGCAGTGGGCCTGTCTGCAGAGAAGGGAGTGTAAAACCGCCCCAGAGATGGATTCCCAGAGCACCTCACCCAACAGTGAGCTGCCGTGGGCCTTGTCAGTCTATAGGATGTAGTGTTTGGTTTCTTAATAGAGGAGGAGGCTGTCTCAGAGCTCCTGTGTGGCCTGCTGGAATGGGAAGCATCTGAAAAGGCAGCGGAAATGCTGTCTGTGGTGTTGACTTTGAGGGAAGCCAGCAATCACACAAGCTCACGAGTTACCGCCCATCTTTGAAAGAGGGGTCTGCCACGGAACTGCTTGGTTCCCTCCTCAAAGCCCATTACAGGCTCGGAGCTGAACACTCAGTGGCCTAGGGCTGACCTCATCAACGCCAGCTCAGGTCCACAACCACCCCTGTGCTGGGCTCTGGGGAAGGAGTGAGAGCAGGCTATGGTCCTCATTCTCGGGAATCTCAAGGGTGCATTGAGATACACAGATATAAACTTGACAGCATAGGATACGAAGCGTGGTCAGGGACATTTCTAGATAGGAGTCCTGGCGGGTGGGGAGCATGGGCTCTGCTGGGGAACTGGGAAAGGCTTCTGCGGGAGTTTCTTCAATTTGGTCCTGTTTTCTGTGTGCTAGGACTGTGGGGTGAGGTTGGGGCATAGTTTAGGAGACTGGACTCCTGATCTAGGGTGGCAGGGCAGGACTTGCTGAGATGGACTGTGTCCCACCTGGACAGTGGAAAGATAATCTACATCACAAGCCCAATTGTCTGAGCCTTTGAATCTTATAAAACGTAATTTTTAAATTATAGATTATCACTTATATTATTCAGAAGGTACTTGAGGATATTTGGCATTTGCAAATGTCATCAAAATCAGCTTGATCATTTAAAGGACACTAGCCAGACGGTCTGATTGCTAATGAATTACTGTTACTGGTCACCCCACTTCCATGCTTTGAAGCATGAGACATACCCATGGCAACCCTTTCTCTCCATATCTTTTAATCACTGGTTCTTGTCATTCCTAACTACTCAGTACTGCTTGATAATGTCACCTCTGGCCATCCCTGCAGCCGCTGCGGCTGTCTCCATCAGCCTCTGCTTCCTTCCCTGAGGCTCCTTTCTTCAGGCCACCCTCCCAGAGGCCATCTGCAAGCTTTGCTCCATCCCTGCCACCAGATGGTCTTGTGGGCCACAAGCCTGCTGGTGCTGCCTCCTTAAAGGCAGACCTCCTTTCTTCCTCCAGGCTATGACTCCTGACTGCCCAAGCCACATGCTGGCACTTTTATCGATTTATTTTATTATTGTATGTGTATGAGCGTTTGCCTGAATGCATATCTGTGCACCACGTGTTTGCCTGGTACCCATGGAGGCCAGAAGAGGTTGTCAGTTCCCCCTGAGACTGGAATTACTGACAGTTGTAAGCTGACATGTGAATGCTAAGAATTGAATCCAGGTCCTCTGGAAGAGCAGCCAATGCTCTTAACCACGGAGCCATCCCTCCAGTCCCAGTGACAACTGTAGAGTTTAGAACAGATCTAGAGCAGGTGTTCTCGACCTGTGTGTCATAACCCCTTTATGGGGGGTTGGGATCGACCAACCCTTTCCCAGGGGTCCTATATCAGATATCCTGCACAACAGATATTTACATTACAATTCATAACAGTAGCAACATTACAGTTAGGAAGTAGCAATGAAATAATTGTATGGTGGGGGTCACCACAACATGAGGAACCGTATTAAAGGGTCACAGCATTAGAGAGGTTGAGAACCACTGTTCTAGATGACAGAACAGAGAACCATCCCAGCCTTTTCTGAGCCCCAGGTTCATTTGCTTCTGAGACCATAGGTTCCACTTTTCTGTAGTCAGGATAAAAAATAAAAATTTAAAAAAAAAAACTTGGATGAAATCAGAAAGCCTTGACTTCAATCATCAAGTCTACTATCTTCCTCCTCTGTGTTGGTTAAATTATTATTGTTACTGTTGCTGTTCTCAAAGATGGCACATAGCACAGGCAAAT